AGCCTTCATCCTCTAAGAGTCCTCAAATGCAGCATCGATGACGGAGCCTGCGACTGGGTATTTCAGCAGGAGGTTCCTCGCATGTTAGCTGTATCACATGATGACCCGCACGGGGAAATGCGTGGCGGTGCTCCCTGAGCTGTTGCCCCTTGCAAATAGGGACTCCCCGGATAAGTCATGGCGTGCAGAATTGTGGAATTCAAGATTCGGATACGTCGCTGATGGGAAAATGAATCTGACCACCTTAATAAGACTATCGCACGCGAGACTTTACATTGGGAGCACAGGATGCGCGACGTGAGGGGTCGATCAACCCACTACCCAAGGGTACGAAGTCGCAAAGCTTGATCGATAGGTCATCGGCCACAAGAAAGTTACGTGGGCTAATGTCGGCATAGATCACCCCAGAGGCATGGATCACGGCGATAGAATCGATAGCATCTCTGACCCACCGATCCCGGATATTGTTGTCTATTTCATTTTGCTGGAGGTAATCACGGAGATTTCCGAGTCGACAAAATGGAAAATAGATACTCTTTTCTTTGGTTTCGAGACAGTCCAGAATGCGAGGATGCTCATCCTGTTACTTTACAGTATATTACGCAAGAATCTTACAATACTCTATAAAGTCGGTGTTCAGTGCCTGATATGACCTATGCGCGGATGACGAGCAAGTCGGACATTGATATCAACTTTGAGGATGTCAACGGATGCCCTCCGCTTTCGCAGGCTACGCGATACCAATACTATGGCCCGGCTCTGAGGTTACTAGACGAGAGAACGTCAATGCAGTTGGTGAATTTAGGGCTTCCGTACGAGCGAATCGACATGGGGCTCAAACGCAGATCGTACCACAGGCCAGCAGCTCTCCCATATAGTGCAGCACCGGCAAAGGTGTTGATCAATCAATGTCAATCAGGGGTATGGCTTTTGTCTGTCTCCGTTCCTGGCAGGAACTACGGGTGGCCAACCCAACGCTGCAATTCAGTCGTTGTGATGCGGCACGCGGCCGTCAGTACCTGGACTTATCATCCTGATAGAGCCGCCATATGCTCACACGTGAGCTCGTATATCGATTTCACTCCTGACGCACCAATGCTAGAGCGCCAACTCGAACAAGCCGGAAGTTGACAACACTGGCTGGATTAGACGGATCGACGGTGAGGAGGATACTGCATGCACTATGCATTAGAGACAGCTAATCTTTGTCTGATCCGTCCCAATATCCTTGAGTGGTTTGACTTTTGAGCATAGTCTAGCGCACGCTGTCCCCTAACATCTGCAAGGGTGAGGTCAATTTCCTTTCTATCCAGCAAGGCCATTGATACGTCACCATTCCCCTTTTCAATAGCAATCATCAATGCTGTTCGACCGGCCCGATCTTGATGATTGACATCAATTTCATCGTATTTGAGCAGTTCATTCACAAATGCGTTTCTCCCCAGTGCGCATCCAAACATGAGTGCACTCATGCGGGCAAAGCAGCAGTTGACGTTGATATTGGGTACACGTAGCAACCGAAGGGCGCAGCTCTCCCCTCCTTGTACTGCACTGATTAAAGGATGTATGGAATTGCCCCTTTGATTATTCACTTCCACGCGTTGATCACTCAGGAGCAGTTCCAATAACTCTAGTGAATCTTCAGCCGCTGCAATTGCTAAAGGTGAGAAAACAGTGGGACTTAAATTCGGGTCTAACCGCGCGTCGTTAAGGAACTGCTTTACAGCCGCTTTGTTCCCTCCGCTGACCGCAAAGCAAAAAGGCGTTCGTCCTCCGAAATTGCTTATATTGATGTCAATATCGGTGCGCCGTAGCAGCGCGCCGAGCGGACGACAGTCATCGTTCGATGCTGCATAAGACAACGGTGTCCGTCCCTCGGAGTCAGTCGCATTAACGTCCATACGACTATCCCGCAAAAGGATCATCATAATGTAGAGTTTGTCACGTTGCTGTGCTGCGACGTGGAGTACCGTCTGTCCAGCATCGTTTCGGACATGCACATTTACACGTGGTAGGCTGAGAAAATAACTTGTGGCGGATAAGCTCCCTATTCCCACTGCTCGGACAAGCCCGGTGCTGTTTTCGTGGTCCACATTGTGCTGATATAGAGATTTTTTCAACTATTGGTAAAGGCTTCTGTTAACGCTCATCAAGGCATATATATCCCGTACGCTGCGAAGAGTAGAGGCCGTATGGAGCACAAGTTCGGGTGGAAGACTCGAAAAAGACAAGGATACAAGGATTGTAGCTGATGATCTTTTGGTGTATAGTCGGGCGGTGAGACCACTGAGGACAGGGAGACATTGCTATGTCTGTCAAATCGAGGAGAATGGTGGTGCTTTTAGGATCCACGCGGGCCCAGGTATGATTCACAAAGCTCAGTGTGCTCGTATCAGTCATTGAATTAGGGAACCCCCGCTACATAGAGAGGCCCCCAACCCAGATGTTGTTTCCAGTATGAATAGAATGGTCGGCAGCATCTAGACTGACGGCCCTATGACCGGTAGGTTTGTTGTAATATGTCTAGCTTGAAGTTTGATGGCTAAAGCGCTGGTCATTGAGTTTGCCTGGGCTCCCCCGCTAGCGCGACTGCTGTCGACAGACAGAAAGGTCTATACTGAAGCAAACCCAGTGCAGACGGTTGGAGAAGAGATATTGTTCTTGAGGACAGCGGACCCAACCAAAGTAATTGAAGATGCTCGGGTATTTGTCTCCATCCAGAGCCCTCATAGTCCTGGTCGAACAGATGCCGCGGCATCCTCCTCGTCTTAGACCATGCTCTGTTTCTGACGAAAGAACCCGGTCATGTCGACGTGTGGAGCTGGCCTAGTTCCATGCCCTGCCAACTAACATTCACTTCTCTTGCGGTAGTCAGCATCATGGGTAAAGACACGTGAATGCGGGTCTTCTGCCGACGTATAAGACCTTGCAGCATCCGCATGTTCATGGACATTAACTATCTCGAAGCTAAAGAGGTGCTGCCGACGTTTGGCCAACTTCTTTTGGAGGCACGGATCTTGAAAGTTGTTGATCGACGGTCGGGCATTGCCGTGATCCTTGCGATATCGGTGAAGCATGCTGGCACTGGGCGGGAAGTCTGCTTCAACGAGTGGACTTCGTTCCTGCTCAAAATGCCGGGCGACGGGGCGTCGAAGCCATCGTCCCTGAATACACGACCACCCATCAAGCTGCCGGACCGGAAACCGGATCTAACCGTCAATTATCAAACAAAAAGCGAGCAAGGAGCACACTAGAGGGCAATGACAGGGGAATGGGACCCGATGCAATGCACATTGATCCCGGTCATCGCAAGAGAGCTGGCTTCCCTGGTCCTATCCTCTCTGGAACCTTGTACGATTGTCGGCGGCGCGAAGCATGTCATTGATTTCTTCACTGGCGACGAAGAGCGTCAACTTGAGATTCAGCAAGCCAGTATTTCCGGGAGAAGTCATTCAGACACAGATGTGGGAGGAGGGCGATGGACAGATTGTATACCTGCAGGTGACACCAGATGTGACGGTCGTTATCTCCCAAGCTGAGATACATTAAAATTTAGAATCAGCTGGAAGCCAGCTGTGACGTATCTGCGACGGAGATTGAGAATGATTATCCGTGAGTTAGGACTAGCAGGATGACTACACATCATAGCAGAGAGTAGGTATAATGGCAAGAGTAAACTGAGACACTATCCTCAACTTTCTCAACCTGCCCACCGAAACCCCAAATACCCTCCAGTCAACTACGCGACCCTGCAAGCAGCTGGCGGGTTATATCCATAATCGCGTGCAAAGTTGCAGAGGCCAAGTTACGAATCATCCAAGCCGTGCTGGGGCAAGCACCTTGCACCGGTCGTCGACGTTGTGGGAACTGGTGCTCCATACTGCATGCAAGTGCATGGGCCTAAAGGGCAGTAGCCATAGTGACATGCGAAGCTGCACTGCCCGACGTAGTTACCGGGGCCGGCTCCGCCGGTACAGACTTGGCCGGTGCTGGGGCCGCTGGTGGTCGTGGCTGTGGTTGTGGGAGGTCGAGTGGTCGTGCTTGTGCGGATCGAGGTCGATGTCCTTGTTGTACTAGTGTGTACAGCGTTGGTCCATGTGGTAGGGCGGGTAGTGGTTCTTGGCGGTGGCCTAGCGGTTTTGGGGCCCGTTGGCGTTCTGGTGGTCCTTTTGCTGGTACTTGTCGTTCGTGTGGTCGATCTAGTGGTAGTAGGAGTTTCTTTTCCCCGGCCTTGTGGAGGGGTCAGAGTGTGAACGCCGAGCGAAGGAGTGGGCGCGCAGGTCTGTACGTGTAACCCCTGCGTGAGGCTGTTGAGACCAGCGCTCTGGAGAGAGTCGATTGGACTAGGCGGGAAAGTGCCCACTATCTCCAGTCAGCTGAGGGGGAACATGCTATAGACTCCAAATCGAGACGTCCGAGATGAAACGCACCATATGGGTTAAAGTTATATAGCCCGCAAACACACCTGTCGATGATTGGCAAGAGACTGACTCCAGACTGGATAATCTGACCGTTCCGGCTGAGCGAAAAGGCCTGCGATCCCACACCCATCGGGACTGTGAATGCGCTGGCCCCCGCGGGCGCATCAAACACCTGAACATTACCACCAGAGTTGACAGTCACCGTTGCGGGCTCGGTAAGCGTGGTAGCCACAAACACAGCATCCTCCATAGTTTCCCACCCATCAGGCCGGCCGTAGAAATAGTTACCACTGCCATTATTGACTGGAACCATACACGTGTCGGTGGCATCGCAGTTAACATCCCGTGGAGTGGGCCGATACCAGTAAACGAGAAGGTCTTCAGTAATATATTTACTCAGAGAGCTGCTGGGAGCACCATCCTTGTACGCAGCTATAAATGGCTTGGACATGTCCATCCAACCATCGTGGGGCCTGAAAATGTTAGTTGAAACTGAGAGTGAGGGGAATGTGACACGGAGAAATGAGAGAAGGAGGAATAAGACTGAGATAACATACATGTCGTTCACCCATTTAGAAGCCCCATCATCTGTATGAGGTGAACTAAGAGGACCAACGTAATGGGATTCGCCGTAATCATTCCAGGTAACAATCTCGATGAAGCGAGGAGCCATGTCCAGAACTTGCAGCCAACGGTTATACCAGAGCAAATCACTAGGGAAAACCCAGTTCTTGCTGTAGGGGACCTCGGGGCCAAAGTGGGTGAAGAACCATGGAGAAACAGCTGGGCATGATGGATGTTAGCGAAGCTTTGCCTATACCCACGGGTGGGCAGAGATGTCATCTTACGAGCGATGTAATCCTTCCCGTTCAGTGCTCTGATATAGGCATCATCACCATCTTGAACAGTAACATGACGGCCAGGCTTGGGGGCCTTGTTGTTACCATTATTATCCCACGCCATCCAATTCAGTAGACCATCGACACCGCTCATATCAGTGCCCATATCGGGGTGGAAGTTGGGTGCGAAGAACACCGGTTTACCCGCAGCAGAGCGCATGGCGTTGATATCGAGGCCATCACCTGCAAAGGAAGAGACGAAGATCTTTCCATCAACCATAAGCTGTGCTGGGCGGCTCTCATACTGGGCGACCTTCTTGCCGACTTCGTAACCCTGGCCGGTATGGTACCAGTTGAAGTCGAATGAGATGAATACCTTCGTGATATTTTTGTTAGCTGCGGACTGGAAGCCCAGCAAATGAGATAAGTACCTTCATATCATTATTAGCCGCTGACTGATAGGCTAGATCCAGCTGTCGATCCGTGTATGGGTCGACACCGATATTCAAAGCGAAAGCATCAATGCCCAGCAGTTTTGCTCGCTTCATGTCATCATCATAATCAGCAGCCGAGTTGCGGTTGCTGGTGATTCCGATCTACCAAGATGGTCAGTCATTTGCAGCAGATCGACATGTCAGAACCAGGGATTACCATAAAGTGTGCAAACAGCAGCCGATCAGTGGACGGCCGGGCCCTATTGAGACTCGAACCAGGTGCAGCGTGAATAAGCAAGGGGAGGGAGCAAAACGCTCCAAGAATGGACCTCAACTTCATCTTGACCAAGTACCTCTTGTCCTCTGAAGGCCGTGAGGATGCTACACTGGAATCTCAAGTCCGGACCAGCCTTATAGATTCTTCCCCCAGGCTCTCTCCTCGCTCAATGGTACATACGAATTCGCGACCTTATGTGCAAGTTTCGGTATTGATGGAGGCTTATCGGCACGTGGTTCAGCATATGTAATCGGATTCCTTGGGCCAGGTCCGACAGCCCGAAACGGTACCATGCCGGTCAAGAAGGGTGTGATCAGATATCGTCAGGTCAAGGCGGTCTTCTCGGAATTTCCTAGTTTCGCGGGCCCAGCACCCCCAGGCGCCCGAGTGCACTTTTCGTTTACTTTGCTTCTGTTCTCAAAGTCGATTAAGCGCTTCGGGGGCTGTGAGGGATACCTCATACTATGTGGGCGAAAAATAGTTTGGATTCGAATAATGGCGGGCCAATTCCGGAAAGCAACGATGATTGCTGGAGAAGATTTCAGGCCCGAAGCTAGCAACTTCCTGGCGGCTGCCTTGGCCGAAAGTTGGATTTCACCACCATCTTGATCCCCTCTATCTATACAGTGTTCATCACGTACAGTATGTTGTCCGATGTCTGCGTGCCGATTACCCTTGTACGGTATCTTGCCCGGAAAATTGTATCTTTGATTGAGATCTCGTCTTAGTCGGGGGGTAGAGCCATTTAACATCAGCATGATACCTTTCCCAACCCAACGAAATATCGTGCGTTGTGCTAGCGCGAGGAATGCTGCTTGCAATAGAGAAAGCCCTCCCAAAGGTAGAGGTCTTTCAGGCTGATAAAAGCCCAGCCGTGAAGAGAGAGCACCGACGAAAGTCGAGGGTCGCCATGTTTTCCAACAAGGATACGGTATTATATTCTGTTCCTAACAACTATCAATTATCTTAGCCACTTAGACACAGCTTGCCCAAACGCCGGACTTCAGTGAGCTAGGGTACTTGCATCGTGACAGTCTTGATAAAAAAGAATTGAGGCGTCGTCGTTCTTCCTGGTCATCCTGTCGTCGAGGTTTCCAGGTACAGAACTACTCATCTGGCCCGCCGCCTAACACCGACAACATTAATAATTGACCGGGACGATCAAGCGCTCTGCATTGTTAGCATTTTTCACATCCGGTGCTGCGTTCTTTTCAACCGTGCGCGCTTGCCCGGGGATTCATCTCGCAACTCTAGCGGCAGGAGCACCCAATGGCATTGGCTCGACTCTGACGATATAGAAGTTGATGCCCGTCGGTTTCCATCCATCGGTCCAGCTAGTTAAGAGTCTCGCGTTAAGAGTCTCGCGTTAAGAGTCTCGCGTTAAGAGTCTCGCGTTAAGAGTCTCGCGTTAAGAGTCTCGCGTTAAGAGTCTCGCGTTTGACTAGCCTTCTACGTAGGAGATTTACCAGTAACCGACTCCGAGTGAATAACAATAATATCTGCTATCTATACAGATACCAACGACCGCCCTATCGGCCGTTTCCTAGCATACATCAATATTATGTAGGTAGCTGCAGGAATGGGCTGAGTGGGAACAAAGCCTTGCCGAAGATACTGTCCGACTACATCTCTTCCTAACGTTTTTGTTTACTTTTACACCACTCCTTTCAACATTATGCTATAGATGGACATCCGTATACGCGCGTCAGTCGTCTGTTCGGGGTATATCCAAGAAACCTTACAAACTTGATTAGTTGATTGCAGTAGTTGGCCGGTGAATATCATCTAAAGCGTCCTAATTACACCACTCTTTACTCGTTGAGTACTGTACGTTCTATTCCGAATCGGCGAACCATGACTCACACATCCAAAGGCCATCGCGTGGCCTACTTACCATTGCTGATATCTAGGATTAAACCCAACTGCTTTATGTTATTCCATTGCCTGAGGCTTACATCAGCGCATGGAGACTTTGCTGATCTTCAATCTCTGATGAGGGAGGAATGAGTGTCGCGGTCGCCGGCTCGTAGTCGCCTGAGGAAGTGGGCCACTGCGGTACCCCACATCCGCACCGGCGGCTCACTCTCTGGATACGACATCTAATAAAAGCCCATGGTTTGCTTTTATATCGAGGTAGTCTTTTTTTTTCTGTGTGTTCTACTGAGTCTCTTTACTTCGGGGCCTGCATGCCATTGGAGGCGCCCTGAATTGAATAAAGCCTGATTCCGACCCGCGAGGTACTATATAACCGCAGTTTGTGGGCACATAAGCATACTACTAAGGCTTCGGTTTGTGGAGTTGGTTGAAGTCTTTGATATAGGAGATATTTGTGTTATCTCATCGTCTACCCGATCTACTACTATGCAGCACTTCTCCAAGATACTTCTACCTGCCTAGCCACGTCCAGCCTCTGGTGTCCTAGCGGTACCACCCACTTCTTTCAGGTTCGAGCACAGGTGCAGGCCGTTGTACCAATACGCGATGCGGCGAGCTTTCTGCATCGAAAGAACGTAGTTCAAGATCCTGCGGGTTGGTGCGGCGTCGTACACGGTCTAGTGCACTCCCAAAATCATCCAAGATGATTGTGTCACTTAAGCACTTGAAAACAAATGCCAACTGCGTCGCAGGTAGAATTAGCATGCGAAAGATTGTTCCGGGGCCTATATTGCCATACCTTCCAGAATGGCTCGATTCCCAGAGGGAGGTTGAGATGGAACGCGCCGGAAACCGCACACGTATCCACAATAGTGAAGCAGATGGAGAGAGCCAAGAAAAAGATCATACCACCAAATCGGGGGCTATCCCGCACGATTTCCCATAAAGAACGTGAATATGCGTGGCGGATCCTGCTTACTAGGTAACAAGATGTGAAGATCCACCATGGGTCTCTACGCGAGAGTAAGTCCAGTCAGAAAGAGAGAGACTGTTTTTCAACTTACCGAAACAGAGGCTCAAGAGGCCGGGTCCTCAGAAACAATGTGTCACCATGATTAAAGAAGGCAAAGTTGGCATAGATCTCAACAATCCAATATGGCTGAGCCGCGAATAGACTAATCAAGTAGAATTTGTTTGCCCGCGGCTTTCTTCTGAGAAAAGGCCGAATCTTCAGCCAGGCGATCAAGTTGTGTAGGGACCAGGATGTATTGAGGCCGATAGCTGTAATTGATAGATACCAGCCATAGGTCGGAGGTTGTACGAAGATAAACGTTCCGTGAGCGATAGCGAGGACCAGCTAACATCCGGTCATCAGGAGCATATGGTACGCAGCAGGGATTATCGACGTACCTCAGCAGCAATCAGCTTATGGAGCAGGACATTCACCTTCATGTTGGCCACAGTGACCGCGATCATCACAATCAGGGAGCCCACCATCAGTCCCTGTCCCCAGGCTTCTAAGGCTAATCCATTGGAGCCTTCAGGGCGAGTCGCGGTAATCGAGGGCATAATGGTCTTAGATCCTTGAATGCACGTTCTGCAGGCAAAAGTATGCTCACGGCTTTTCTATATACCTTCCGATCCTGGAGACATCAGCTAGATCATAAATCTTCTTTAGTTCCCAGGACCGTGATTGAGGCTCGTAGGAGCCACTCCCAACATCTGGTGAGGCATGCAGGGAGTCCTAAGAGGCTAATGGAACCTATGATCCGGTTGGTCGTTTAGAAGAGGAAGATCTTAATACAGATCAGCGGAAAATCACCGCTGGAGAGCGCAAGGTAATGTCTTTTGTCAAACCGCGGCGTGCGCAGCTTGTCAGTGCCAACAGCGGGAAACATCCACCCCTTCGGATTGGGCGGCTAGCTACTACCCAGCCATGTATGCCGCCGGGCCTGGATACCCAATAAGTTTACCTGCTCATTTAGTGCCTCTTGGATGGCCTTCGACGTGATGGGCGTACTCCAGATCCACCCTCTGCCTGTCCCGCCAGATATGCAAATGCCATAGTATAGGTGCTTCATCCAATCGCCAGAATAAACGTCCCATCGGAATCTGCCTTGGCGGTGCGTCAGATGAGCCCCTGGCTCATGACCGCTCACTATGAAATAAAAGGACCAAAGGTGCCTATCCATCCTCCTTATCTCGAATGTCAGACTACCATGCCCGACCGACCTTTGACTAACGCACCTCCGTCAATGGATCCCGGGGAGCTGTCCAGCGGTCCCGGCGGCAACTTCGACACTATTTGTGATGTTACTACTTGGGATATTATCAAGCTTGGTCAGCAGCTAGGAAATGACACTCGCTCGCATCAACCTGTCAGACAAGTGATCGCGATTCAGACTCGCACGGGGAACTATCAAAGAGAGGTTTTAATATCGGAAAATGCCATCATCGATCGTCTTATCTCGGCGGCACAACTATTGGCACCTGTGATGCGACGGATAGAGGACGAGGTAGTCCGCCTTTCACTCGCCCCAGCCATGTTCCTAATGAAGGCAATTCCTTTCATCGATCTTACAGACAGCCATGCTTCAAGTATGCTTCAGAGAGCCCCTACTACAGGCATTTCAACCTCTGATATACTGGAACCCTCCAACCTGGTAGAGGCAACTCCTGTCCGCCCGAATCCCGTGCCTGCTCGGACACGACACTTGTCGGACTCTCGTTCAAACGTTGAAGCCTCCATTCCGAACCACGTGATGTACGAACATCTGGAACATTTGGATCACGATTATTACGAGCACATTGACACGATTCCGAATACCCCTGTTTCAACGTCGGGTAGTGCCGCGGGTGATAATGTGCAAGAAGATGTGGTACACAGCAGGGGGCAATATGTTCAGCAACGGCGCATGCTAGAGCCTTCTATTCCACAAAAGCGGAAGCGTGAGCGTACAGAGTATAGTACGGAATCTGCTCCAGTCGAGCGATCTACTGTCTGCAGGATATGCTACAATAGAGACCTCGATACTTGTCTTTTCAGCTGTGGGCATGTATGTTGCGGCGAATGTGCTGAAAAAATTGACCGATGCCCTACGTGCAGAGAGGAGATAAAGGCAAGGGTCAAGGTTTTTGCTGCTCTTAGTTATTGAACAGGGGATATTTTGGATCCTAGACCTGTTTCTCTCTCGTTGCCACAAGGAAGCTTACTCTACCCTCTGTTTATTCGCTCCTAAACTAGTAGCTGACCAAATTCCTTACCGTAGTCAAAACTCCCCATCAATCCGGCGGCTTCTGGTGCGCTCGGCCCCTCCGTCACACATTCGCCCATATTCCCTGCGGGAGCTGAGGTAAAAAGGTCATTACGAGCACACATAGCATAAAGACATGCAAAGCCAAGCTCCTGCCCATTTTTACGCCTTACGTGGTGGAGCGGCATAAGCAGGTGTATTATTGAGGCTGGTTAAATGTATACTTGCAGTGGCGTCTCTACTGGATGCACCATTGCTGTTACGGATTTCGATGTCTAATGGCCTACAGAAAACTCTTTCGTGATCGGAACCGCCAGAGCATGGCGGGATAGAATGAGCTCAATGCAACGGACCAGTTCTTGCAATAACTTGATGAGGCTCTTAACTTACTACTTTCAAGCTCTACACACCATGAATGGAATGCCATAGCAGAACCAACTAGACGTTAGACTATTTACCGAGCTCTTCCGTGTTGCGGCGGGTATTCTTGATTTTTTCTAAATACTCGTCCACATTCTTCTCCATGAATTTACCTTTGACGGGCCACACGCCGCTCCAAGGAATACCAATCCTATCGCTTCTTGAGGTGTTCTTCCATTAACAGAAAGCATCTCTTTTTCTGGGGGTTTCGAGCCGCTTCCTTCAATGGTGCATTGCCATCCTGGTTTTGCTGGAGAGGATCGCACCACGGTCAAGCAGGAGTTTAACCGCATCCTTGTTGACCACGAGTCTCTTGGATGATATCAATTCGAAGAGGACACTTTATCTGCAGAATTGAGTTTGCATAGTGCTTCTCGCTTTCCCAAGAGGAAATCAATAATCTGGCCCGGACCCGAACCGCGCCGCTCAGTTCTAGCAGCTGGCAAGATCAGATCATTCTCTGATGAGTATGGAGGAGACCCACGTGGCGTGTAGCAACTGCGATATGAATCGTCATTTCTGCACCAGGGACGTTTCGTGACAATTGCTCATCCCACCGGTGCCGCCCAAGAAGAAACTCAAACATCGCTATTCCGCCCTGAATAGCGCAATCGATTATAGAACCCAGGGTCCGCCAACGCTGTTCCTGGGCTATCATCTGGGCGATCATCTGTGAGTTGTTCCGAAGCATTTCTCCCTGCGGAGGCCGTGGCTGCTGAAGTTAAGCCATCCACATCTGTGCGAGCTGTGCGCGCATCGAATGTTTGCTCTTGACTGCCATCATATTGCCTACGAGACACTGCTTGGGTAATTTTTGGCACCTGTGGCAGCTTCCGGGCCCTCATCTCGTCGCTCAATTCAAACTCGCCAGTCGGTTGAGGCACTGGTGGACCAGCCACTAAGGCGTGCGATGCGTTAAGAGTTCGGGTACCTCCCGAGCTTTCTGTTCCACCAAATGCTGCGATGTTCGGTCTCTGATAATCTCTTTCGTTGATCTGAAGCGGCCCAGGGCTGGCTCTCATTAGACCGTGCGATCACCGTTGTAGGGCTAAACGGGAAGATGGATCCCCATTTTTAGCTCTTGGGGGAGTGGAGATTCTCTTGGGTGCTCTTGCGTTTCTTTTCCAGTAGTAGAAGAAACGAGGTATTGGATCTTTGGTGGGAGTCTATTGCGACCGCGTCATGTTCGTTGTCCCGAGGATCCAGATGAATCTGGGTCCTGGTGGTTGCCATTCTCGAGCACTATTTAGGAATTCTAAGAGACAACCAAGATCCTTCCTGATCGTATCCTAGGTTCAGATTAACTGGACGGCGAGTATCAGTGTGGAAACTGAGGGTGGGCTAATTCAAACTATCAAAAGAAGAGGCCCGTCTCCTAAGCAGAACTGGACCTCAGGGATGAAGCACGTAAACCTTTGCCTTATGTGAGAAGGCTCTAGCACGCTGATCCAGGAGAGGTGGTGACCCTTAATGGAATCTTTAGGACAATGTAATTTATCTGAGATATGCAGAGAACGTTGGCCCATCTACGAAGTGACGCAATTTCCCCCTGTACTTTGGTTGGTAAACTGTTTATTGCCAAGGTTAACCAGCGCTATAACCTTGCAGAGAAAATCCCTGCTTCATAAAATCAAATGTAAGAAAGAGAAGCCACACATCACAGCCGTTGATCATTTTGTCTTCCTGGTATTGGACTAATCGTCCACTTCCACAATTGCTGCGTTCGATTGCCACGGATTGCCCTTCTTCGTACTCCAACAAACCTTCGCATTCCTTCTTACGAACATGGTTGCGACAAACCTCTGTTTGCTTTCTAGAACCGGGCAGAGAGCACAACACCAATGGCGTTCACAGAACGCTTAAGTTTGAGCGGTTCAGAACCTGAATCTAAGCCCAAGCTCTTATCCCGGGCCGACTTCCAATGGATAAAGTCACGTTGGTCTGCATCGGACATCCTCGGACGGCATAGTTGTCATCAGGTTCCAGATATACCTGATTGCAGTTCTTGTCCCGGGGCAGGCAAGTCAGGCCTGGGCAGGTAGGGTCACTTGTCGTCACGGTTATTCCACCCATGATGAAGTTGGATTCACGATCCATATCAATAAAGGAAACGTCCCAATACACGATCGAAGATTGAAGTGAGTATTCAAACTGCAATACACTCTTCTGGCTTGCCTCTAGGGCCAGTTTGATGGAGATTCCTCCCTCGTCCTCCCTCGCACGCCATGCCTCAAAGTATGCTCCACCACGAGCTTCGATAACTCTCTCCGGTCCCGGTCCCCGTGCAACAGACCACGCATGGATACTGCTATCCAGATTGTTGATTATATTGACACCAAATGCGGGATCGGCGACGACACCGGATACCGCGCCGGTCTCTGTGGGTGTGCCACTGCACGTCACACTTGTCAAGGCTGTCGACGCTGTGGGCGTGCTAGATAGTGCAGTTGCTTGTGGTGGGTCACCACCGGAACCCGCGAACGTTGGTGGCCCAGCACACCAAAAGCCTGGCTTCGATAATGAGCCTTCGGTGTCTGGCCCCGGCCTCGGAAAGTTAACCTCCTCATTCTCGACGGTGGTGCACTGATCCTCCGCATTGACGTTGGCCACAAAGATCGCTGGTCGGTCAGCCCACCGTACGGAGAGCGGCTGATCGGGTATCATCCGGTCGTCATTGCGGGCAGCCATTGGCTCTGCATGGACCGTTACCTGGGCACAGTTCATGTACATTTCCCGGTTCCCAACTTTGTTGAACCAGGTCCACGCGAGTAGGGCTGGACCGCCTGGTGCGTCTTCTGGAATCCGAAATGTATACGACATTGCCTCGGGACAGTGGCCGAGGATCGATTTAATCACCTGGAAGGTCTCTCCGCGATCAAAGGACAGGGCAATCTGACATGACCCGCCCCCATGCATCGCCGTGCCCTCCAGAGTTAGGGAGTACACCTCGCCCGCAGCGTAATCAGCGACGGAATTGAATGGTTCTTGTGCGTACCCTTTGCAGGGAAAGTCGGATCCCGACGCAGATAATGGAGACGCGTATAAGTGATCTCTCATCGAAGCTGCCAGAGCGGGATTCAGCGGACTACGAATGGGAAAAGGGTTGCTCATCTGGATGTGTCCCGCAGTGGCCGGGATGAAGGCAGCGTACAGGGCCAATAGGGTGATCATTTTCAGATCAGTATTTACCGGGTCCCAGATTTAATCCTCGCACCGTGTGAGGCCTTCAGGATATTAATATGTATTGCCTTGATGCTGGCACGCTGTCACATATGTACTCAGTGTTATCAGTTGAATGCTTTGGTGCTCAGTAGGTAGCACTTGATCTAGTGGAAGGGAGGGAGCATGTCTTCAGGGCAAAATTCACCAGTGCGCAATTTAGTCCAATTTGAATTTCCAGCCATAATACCGGGGTTAGTGCAATCTCGCGTGCGTGCAAATATAGCTTCTTGCTATTGTTCAGTTACCTGTCAAAGTTTACACTCAGAAACAAGCGGGCGCCCAGTTGAGCCGTGCCCGGCATCTTCACCGGGCCAAACTGGGTACGCCGAGGTGGTGGCATCTATTTACACGGCAAGGGTGCATAGCAGGGCATCAACAGTACACTGGAGCAAGCGGGCATCTCGGCCAGACTTGGACCACGGATGCTGGCCACATCATGGCTCGCCGTGACGTTCTCGGTTGGTTCTAGCTTGTTCTAGCTTGTGGAAAGATGCTGGTGCTGGTGTCTCTGAGGGTGCAAGTTTTGGAATCCCTGGCGGTATGAAGGGCGAGGCGTGCATTTTGGTTCTCTCCTTGATGCCGTAGAAATATTGCACCAGAAGTTGTATACGCCATAGCTTTCCCTGGTTATTCATCGCGTATCCTACGGTGCATGTCCGGGTCTCGATATCGTGGAATCTCAGTCTCAACCTCTGTCGGTGCCGGCAGCCATGGTTTCCTGGCGAGGTTTTTGTCTGAATCAATTTGCTTATACCAGATCGCAGTGCACGCGAGAATTATTGCAATAGAGACAAGATGAAGTGCATCTTCAAGTATTCCTCCCCCTTCGCACTGGAATTATGCTATGTATCACCTTCCCCAACAAGTAGATCTCTGGTCATGCCATGAGAGCGGGAGAGTAAAGGGGGTGGATTGGAATGCCCCGCACAGTCCTTGTCACGTGGAATGCCAGCTCTAATGAACATTTGTCGAACTTGCGGGTCCAACGTAATGACTTGGATCAACCTTTGCTGCGTGCCTGCTTATATGGAGGTCTCTGCTTCTTCTATCTAGCTGCGATGTACGACTAAATACATAAAATAAAGGGTTAAATGACTAAACTAAATTAGGAATATCGGAATATCAAATAACCGAGCGGATGCTGAATAAAACAAGACCCCTAGCGGTATCCTAAGGTCGACAACATTTTACCTACAAGCCCACCATGCAACGCAACAAATCCAGACAACGTAGATGCCCTAGTGAGTCACCAGGACCCACCAGAGCCCCAGGGCCAAAGGAACCAGAGAAAGGATAGCAGAACAACTCCCCCTACCATAGCAGACATAACTAGGTTGTGTGCCCCTGCCCCTGTGAATAAAGTCGAGTTGCTCGGCGATGTTCCGGATGACGGAGACACGGACGAGTCCGTTGGTGTTGCCATTGCGCGGACTGAAGTGCTCCTGTCTTTGACAGTGACACCGGTAGATGAAATCATTGCACTTGGTTTGGCTCGAACGGACGCCGTGACGCCGGGGCCGCACGGATGGGGTCCATTTCGCAATCCGCACTGGCCCGATGACAAACCCACTGAATGGGAGCTGTTGACCGCCCTTGAAGGAACTGCAGTATGCGCGCTCGTACTGCTTTTGGCGAGTGGGGTAGATTCATAGGCCCTATATGATGCCAGTGTGATCACAGCACCATCCGGTTCAACACTGGCGAGGGACCCTGACCAGGGTGAAGTTGGCTGGGCCACAGAGTCCTCGGAGAAGACAAGGAGAGCGGCAGTGATGCTGGCCAGCAGTATCGCAAACCAAGATGTGTCCATGTTGAGACAAAATCTTGCTCAGTCTGGGCTTGGGCATGGAGGGTGTCTTTCAGTTTCCCGGTCTGTGGTGACGGGGAGAGGAGGACATTTATGGCTCACTCTTTAAAAGTGTTTCGTCTCGAGATGTCCTAAAACACCTCCAACGAAGGTACCATCAGTTATGTGCTTTGGCAGATTGTCATGTCCGTAGCCATGAGCTTCGAAACACTATACAGGGACAGATACCGACCTAAGTAAGAACTTGTCGGTGAGAATCCTGCGGGTTATATCCGACTGCCGCACGTTATATGTCCCACTATGGTTCACGCTTTTGGGTACAGCTGAATGTTGGATGACTTCTGCTCGGCCACCACATCTAACAGCCTGTTGGCTGCAGGAGATACCGGTTGCATGGAACTAGCACTCTGCGATAAAAAGCCCATGTGGAGACCAAAACAAAGGAGCAGATACACGAAAGCTGGCTTCAAAGACTACGACCGATCACACGCGCGGCTAGCAAGCACAACACGTAGGCTGCATCTGTGTTCGCGTGCGTTCTGCAAGGCTTTCATTCGAAACATAAAAACACATTGAAGCCGCCAGCTCGTGGCCGTGAGACCTAGATTAGCAGGACTATACGCGCAAGACGAAGTTCAAGTGGTGGGACCGTTGGGAGGACACAGGCAGTATCGTGAATTCAATCTGAGCATTTCAAAGTGCACCAGGACTTCACGACTCTCGCAGGTACACCACACCATATTACTGTAACTTCTGAGAATGCAGTATTGTACGCCTTGTAACTATACTAAGCCTCTCATGTTCATTTTTGATTTGGCAGGGTACGAAGCTAAATAGGCCTCAGTTTTTATGTTATGAACACGAAAACTAGAATATCCAATAAAGATTGGAACCTGCTCTGTATGCCGAAGGTCAATTAATAGAGTTGTCCCATCCAGGCGCGACGGCCCTCTCGTTGGTTATTCGGCTGGTGATATAGTTATCTTATGTGTACGGAGTAGGTAAACATGGAAATAGCCCGGGCAAAGCAGGGGGACCCGCCGATCGTGGCTTCCACCTTGTTCGATTTTCCTGGACCGTGAGATAGGGGGGCTCAAGTTTGGGGTCATCTCAGCACTCGAACGCGTCAAAACAAAAATTACGACTGTGAATCCGACCATGGCACATAGTCTACAGCCTCGCTAGCCGTCAGAGACAAGTCAGTTAAGATCAACTCAAGCTAAGCAAGGACAGGGCAGTTACTTCCACCGGATACATAGGCTTATGGTAACGGATCTAATGGATATGGTTGGTGTACCTTTAGGACCGAGGGAATGTAGTTAACTGATGATGCTTTGCCCATACGCATATTCCAATAGAGATAAGTATGCACCCCCGAAGCAGCTCTCCCTTTTAGTACCACCATCTCGAGGATCAAGGATATGATATCTATAAGCTTCTTAGTGTTGGAATCCATCACAGAGCTGCCCAGGCATTATGTATTGCAATACGCACAGACATTTTTCCCTCCAGGGGGAAGCTTGTTCCAGAGACGTCACTCGTTTGACTCGAAAAACTCGTCCCAGTGTGACCGTGCGCGGCGCTCTCGGGCGATCAAGGATTGTATGTCGCTGCGCAGGTCATCTCCAATCGTAGATACAGATTCTGGTTCCTCAAATGCATTGGAGTGGTAGAGACCCAGCAGCTCGTTCGACGTCTGGAGGATGAGATCTTGAGTTTTCTTCAGGAGAGTGTAGCATGTACGATAGTATGCGTTTTGGCCTTGCTGGCGGCCAAGCCGACGGACAATATCGACAATCTCGCCCATCTCGCCCATCTCGTATGTATTGGGAGCGCTCCCGAAAAACGCTGAAAGGGATCGTAGGTTATGTGCTGCTCGGTCTCCCAACCGTGCATTTAACCCGAAGGACGCTACGCAGTAGCACTGACTATACCGTCCACGGCGTTGCCCTCAAATACAGAACCATGCAGTAGGGAAGGGCGGACGTGATATTTATGCGGCCGTGGTCAGATCGCGAACCAGCTGTGAGATTCAACACAAGGTCCTCATGGGCATGCTCATCTACCGTGATGTGAGAGCCAAGACAGGGCTTCCCCCTGGATTTTGGACGGCCGTCTCAAATTGAACCGCAAGGCACCAGCACAAAGGCTAGCATATAGGTTGTTCGACTCCAACGAAGGATCGTCAATCTCGACGCGTCGCTCCTGGCGCTCGCTTCTATCCTGCTTCCTATAACCCTGTCTGCCGCAGCTGTGCTGTGATTATTCGCAAGAATGGATACTGCCGTAGGTATTTGCCTCCAGTATCTGACAATCGCTCACTGTGACTAGGACGTCCTCCGTGTAATCTGTGAGCTCAGCGTGCGGGCTTTGCGCGCACACCGGGAGCAACAGAAGCACATCAAAGAGCATCGAAACCTCCAAGAGGCGTTGCAGCAAACCACCTCCGACCTGGAAGAGACGGTCCACTTGGCTGGTATTCTGTACGAGACCAACCACCGGATGGGAAGGGTGATTGACTATCCGTTCAAGGAGCGGGGGGTGGCCCCTAGCGGGGAATCCGAGTCTTTCGAGATCGTGCTAGACCATGTACTCAACCAGCTTGAGGGCACCGAAGGAGATCGAATGGATGGCGCTAAGCCTCCAACCCCAGCAGGAGACGTCACCATGACCGAGAATCCTACATCAACAGGGGATTCACCTGGTGCCACCGGGGAGCGGCTGTGGAGCAAGCCTGGTCAAGGGGGTGAAAAATGGCCATTCTCCACGGCTGGGCGTCAATAAAAGGGGACTGAGATGGACCGTTTTTAGCGGGCTGTTGAAGAGGGCGTTTGATCGTCTTCCCGGTCATCGTGGATTCCTTCCCCATTACTTCCCCGGTTGATGCTCTTATGCCCATAGAGAAGTAGGCTATTGCCAGCAGATGTTTAATTCTGTCAAGACGTCAGAGCTCTACTAGGTTCTATATGTATCTATGTTGTCCCCAAATTAAGGCCTCCCCAGCAGAGATTTGGCCATTGTTCAGCCTGACCAACCGGGTCTTGTCTGCCTCAATCACAGCGTCCTGCATTATACATCATTGATATGTCGTCCATCAGTTACCTCAGACGCTCACCATCCACGGGAAGCGAGCCCGAGATGGAAAGCACGACCGATTTTTCGTCCACATCAGAAAGCAGCGACAACCCGTCCGAAACCAGCAGCGACCGCGAGTTTGTCGTGTCCGATACAGAAACGTTGTCACGACGTTCATTCAGTGACTACTCAACCGAGAACGGCATCAGCGACAGTGCCGATGACATATCTATAGGAAGCGTAAACTTTGCCCTGTCCCTTACAATACACCCAAACCACACCGCGCTGACCTTGGCCAGCCTCATATCCACCGCTTCAGGCCGATCAAAGTCTTGGTGAAGAGATCGGTCAATCGGACGGACCGGCCACGACCCAATATCTGGTCCTATGGTGTTCCCGGGAGGACACGGACAGGATTGCCAGTCCTGAGCGAGGCGTGCTTACGGTGCAATCCCGCGAGTAGATTTTTTGAATGCATAGTCTGCAGTATTGTTCTTTCCAATGCCACCTCCACACCATTCCCTATGGACGAAACGACATCTACATACACATCCGGCCTTCTCGAGAAGAAGAGATCATAGAAGATTCCAGCAGAATATTCGCAGTGTAGCCGGACTGCACGTAGCTATATCGGAAGCCCGAGTAACGTCACAGCCGTCGCTTCTTGCGCTGCGGCGCCGGTTCCACAAAATGCAACCGCCGTTTGGTCATCGTCACGCAGTAGCAGGACCGCCGCGGCGGCCAGCGGTGATCCTGGTGGTCCGGTCGCCCAAACACGGCCTCCGCCTGTTGATCGTGCAGCAACTGCCGTATGGTCTTCGGAAAGCCGCCAATCGGACGCTGCTGGGCCGGGCTGGCGAGCGCAATCGTGATCTCTTCGTCCAGGCTTGGCACCGACAGCGTCACCTGTTTGCGGTAATAGATGCAGAGGAGACACCCATCGTCGTCATCCACCCGACCCAATAAGTGACCCCGGCCGCTGCAGAAGCGCGCTCCGGGAAATTCGACCAGCACCCGATCTACAATCCGTCGGGACTGCGTCCGTGCACACAGAATCGAGCCGTGCAGGCGATACTGACCGTCAGCCCGCGATGGGGGAGCATCCAGCTCGAAGAAAAAGCACGTGGCCAGCACCGCTCGCACGAGCTCATCGGATACGGTGAACGGAAGAGCCGCCAGCTCCTCCAGCTTGCCCACGTCATCCAGCCGCGGGAGATCCCCGTCTAGGGCATGGTCGAGGCGGATGGTGTTCGATCGCAGGGACGATGGGACGTGCACCCGCCCCTCCCGGTAAGCCTCCATGCCATCCATGCACGGTGACGAATTGTATGCGCGCCAGAGCCGCGCGGGGCCCCAGCCAGCGGGAAACCGTCGACCTGGTGGATCGCCCGCGCCCTCGGTCCCGGGGGTGTACCCGGTTCCGACGCTGACGAGCAGATCATGGGTGCGCCGCGAGGGCCAGATCACCCGGCACTCCTCCTGAGCGATGCCCATCGGATTGTTGGCTCGGACGCCACCATCCTGCAAGGTGCCCCAAGCTGGGAGGTCCCTGGGCCGGAAGAAGCTATCTCCGTCAGATCATCGATCCCTACGTCATCGGGAATACATACCGTGATTGACCGCCTGCCGATCGTTTCCGTCTGACGATCGATTTTCACCCCCCCACCCCCCTCAGAAAATGAAGTTTTTCAACCACATACAAATGAAATTATTTAGCGAATGTCTGGTGTACTAATTACAAGGTATCTAAGGCCTGTATAGCGCCATTTTACAAGTCCCGAAAGCGCTGGGGAAGGCGGATCTGCCTACCTCTTCTGTCGACTGGTGGGGGGACCTCCTCAACTTCATGAGCTACTGGTGGCTCAACAACCTGCTTCTTCTTAGTTGGTGATCCCTTAGGGGTCTTCTTGGTGGTTGATTTGGTAGTTTGAATGTCGTTTTGAAGCTGTTTAGCTGCCTCCTTAGCCAATTGATCCTCCTCTTTCTGCTGCCTTTTCTGCTCCTTCATATGCATCCGTAGTTAACGATGTTCTAGTCTCTCGAGCCTCTTTAGCTCCTTCACACGCTCATTTTCTTCCTTCCTAAGCTGCCTCTGTACCTTCTCTTCCTCTCTGGCGGCCTTGGCGGTCTGTATAGCCTCATCTTTCTCCTTCATGGCAGTACGTGCCTGCTGAATCTTCCTAGGGGAATAGAAGACAGCGTACCCGTCCTCAGGGGCCCTAAGAGCAAAGTCTAGGGGCTTACCACGCTGTCGCTTCTTCTTTTCATTCACTAGTGCCGTCTCAAGGCCCTTGCAGTGAAGTTTCAGCAGAATATTCTCGGTAGTCAGATGGTGGATGGTAGAGCTCAACCTTTTGGTCTTCTGGTCATTTATCTCCACCACCACCTTCCTAAGAAGCCGTTCAATCTGTCGCCAGTCCTCTGCTTGTAGTACTGATCTTATAGAGGCACTGGAGGAAGGGCGTGGTTCTTCCTTCTTGGAGAACTTCTTCAGAATGACCTCCGGGTTGAAAGGTGCTAAACCAGTCGATTTCCATGCACTTTCAATGTTCTTGGTAGACAAAGCCTTCTCCCATGCAGGCCAGAACAGGCGGAAAAAGTCTCTTTTGGTAATAGAGCTCAGGCCTTGACATTCGTGCATGAATGCCTCTAGTTGGTCACTGTACGCCTGGGAGAGAGGTGAGAAGATCCCAACATCCAGGGGCTGCAGGCGATGGGTTGAATGAGGCGGGAATGTTGCTATATGGATTCTATTGGCCATACAGAACTCCATAATTTGTGGTGTGAGGTGGGAGCCGTGGCTATCCATAATAAGAAGCCTCCAGCGCCTTCTTGCCTTCTCCTTGGTCTCCCTGTCAAAAACATCCCGAATCCATGCAAATCCAAGATCGTTGTTGGTCCATCCAGTCTTAGATGATGCAAAGAAGCAGTGGTGTGTTTCGTTCTTGAAGTCTTGCAGCCAGGAATCCTGAAGATTCCCTGAGGCAGCCTGGTAGATAAGGCCTGGGGATAGAGAGGTTCCATCAGCGCAAATGCAGCCAATTGTAGTTATCCACTCCCGATTCCCATCCTGTACACGCTGCTGGGACCCATCAGTCTCATTATCCCTTCTAGAGAAGATCCTCTTTGCCTTTGAGAGCACCCCAATAAGGAAACCTTTCTCATCCATGTTGTACATGTCCTCAGGCCGAATCTCATATTCCTGAATCTTCCTGGCCAGGAGTTCAAAGTACAGTGCATAATAAGCTGCTGAATCCGCCTTCTTCCTTGCAGCATCAATCCCAGTTGTGTATCAACACACAAGCTCATCTTTATGCCTCTCCAGAAAGCGGCTAGGCCAGTGTATTCCAGGGTCTTTCTGGCAGACGTTGAAGGCGAAATTTCGCAGCATGGCATGTGAAATAAATAAGCCGCGCCTGCTCAATTAATTGATCCATTGCACTAATTCCTTCTCCTGCTGGTGATTGAGCAGTTGCTGTTTTTCGTACTGCTTGCTTTTAGGGCCCTGAATGCCCTTGTGGCGCCTCGATAGAGTTAGCCGGTTAACCCCGAACTTTCCTGCAACGAGAGCATAATTAAATGAAAGCCCTGGCTTTAAGGGTCCCAAATATTCAAGCGCTGCCTCAATTGAATCCATATTGACAGAGCTATGGTGGTTTGAAAAGATTGAGTTTTGAAGTAGCGGTCTACAAAATCGATCGTCAGATGGAAACGATCGGCAGGCGGTCAAACACGGTACCACGGGGCGGCAACACTAGCGCCAACGCTATACAGTAGGCGGTCAGTTTACGATGTGAACCGCTGGTGTGAAACGTCAGGGAACGAGGAAAACCTACACGTCCTGCAACCGCGGATTTTGTGTCTCGCCGTCCACCTGCACCACCTCGTACGGCAGCTTCTCCGATCTGGATCCTACGCCACGGTAATTCGGAAAGAGGATGGGCCTGCCATCGGACGTTCGGCTCGCCACCACCCCGAAGCGAGTCCCCGTCGGGACCAAGGCCGGGACGTCGAAGAGTCGCAGTGTGGGAGGCAACAGCTTGTTGAGGGTGCGGTCAAGACTGTTAGTATCATAATATCCATCTTTCAATATGCCTACGATAGCCGACAGCCACGGCCAGAGTCTGGAGGCTGGTCCGCAGGGCCGGAAGACTTTTCGCGCAAATTCTGGGAACTTGTGATATCCCTCTTCGACGGATGTCCCGTTATACACGAGGTCGGTGGTGATGAAGGCGCCTGCCGCTCGTCAGCAGGAGTTCTGTGCCGAAGGGGGCTGCAGGGAAAGCAGGAGCAGGACGACTTCAAAACATCGTTAATCGCACCTACCCACGCTGGTACCGATGATGTAGTCGGCGATCTCAGCAATCGACATCGCGCCGTCCAATCGCCTTTCCAGGGCCCGCAACAAGCCCAGACTCACCAGGCCGCGGATCCCGCCCCCATCGAGGGCCACGACTACGGCACCTTTCGTCGGCGGAAGCTGACGCACGGTGAGATCGCAGGCCTCTTGGCACCAGGGACAGCGGCTGAGATCCACATGGTCCTCGGCGCTGCGGCTGGGACTGCCGAAGATTGTCACGCAAGTGTCACATATCACATGCCGACACGGCAACATGTGCTCGATCGATCGGGAGAGGCAGAAACAGCAGACGGTTGGCAGACAGATTCCCGGCCACCGGGTCCCAACCCCGGTGAGTACTTCCCTGCGGATGGCCACCGACGAGCGTCGCGGCCCCATTTGCTCCACAAACTGCGCCAAACAGTTGTGCACCGCATCACAATGCCGATCCGGGTGAGGGTCTTGGTGGATTTCCCACGCTGCCCGACAGTGCTCTCGATATAGGCTGTCGTAGACGTCGTCCGCCCGGAACCCTATCTGCGTCAGCACATACCACGCTCCCTTGCTGCGGCCGGGAGGGGTCCGGGGCGGGGGCGAACGGGTGCAAAGAGGTGAAAGTTCATAGGGAGGGAGAAGGCGGTGGGAAAGGGCGACTCACTGTGCATGCCAGGAGGGTAAGCATCGATCAGCAGCGCGGATGCGACGACGACGTGGATGTCATGTGGTGGGCAGCCAGCTCGTGACGCGTAAGCGAAAAATTCCGCAAGACGGGGACCCAGCGATGGATCGACCGGCAACTTCTCCCGGGCGATTCGAAGGCAATCGATGCGGGCCTCGGGAGTCACTAGCTGGCCCCCGCAAAGGGTCCGATTCCAGAGATGATTCAAATGCTGGGCAGAGAAGAGTAAACCCTGCTGCATCCGCTGGTCCCGGCTGATCTGGATCTGGTCCAGCAGGGTACGCCGCAGCGGCTCAAAGGCGGCGCGAGGAGACAAGTCGTGGCGATCTCGAAGATCCAGGATGGAGATTGTCGGATCCGAGGAGACAGGATCGGGGAAGCCAGATGACAGCCCCTCCCCCGGATCCGTGTGATATTCGGCGCTGGGATCGGTCAGGACCGTGATGACGCGCATGCCGATGGATGACGTGGGACGCCCAGCGTGTATCTCGGTGGGTGATCGATCCAACAGGTCGTGGGCCGCTTGGAGCTCGGCGGAGCCATCCACGAACAGACATAGCACACTCGTCCAAGGGAACAGGTCCCGTCGCCATACGTGATGCTTCAGGTCCATGGCCGAGCCACCGGTCATTGGGGGCAGGGGATAGTGTCGATGATGGTCTGCGGATGCCAGCCGGATGTTGACATGGCCTGCGGTCGAGTCCAGAAACCCGCTCTCCGCGAACCATATCGGATGCTCGGTGCTGGCGGTGGTGGTACTGAAATGGAGCCGAACCAGACCAGCTGGCCCTCGACGGGTGATGTTGTTCTGGGGAAACAGTGAGCGGAGTGCCGGCACACGATTGGTATTCCCTAGAAAATAAACGAGAGAAGGGTACGGCTGGCCGGATGGCTCATGTCTTGCACGATCTGATCCATCCGACCGGTGTCGACCAAGGCCCAGCCGGCCGAGTCGTGGACTAGGTCCAGCCAGGCTGCCATGTTGACCGGTGAAGACGACCGCAGTGGGTGAATACATCCGTTGTGTCTGGAATTTATACGGTAGACACGACAGGGTTCGTTTCCATGGCTCGCCTTGTACCGTCCCTTAAATGAGGTGAGCGTTCCTGCCTCGAAGCCGAATTGCACATCCTCTAAATGACATG